TTTCTACTGGATGCAGAGTATTACTTCCAACGTGAAGGGTAAATGCAGCTATCCACCCACACTACAAGCACAGCAGCCTCTTGGGCATAGCCACCAGCAATGGTTACATGTTTTGGGAATGTTGAGTTGTCAGAGGAAAGCACCATTCCCACCTCAGCTGTTATAACAGAAAATGCAACATCCTGCAACCAGGGCATCGCTCAGGGCTAAAACCCCAAGCTTTCTCCATCCTTGCTAATACAACAGGCACTCCCTCAACCTCCTCCTCTTTTATCAGTGGACAGATGCTTCATCTCCAGATCAATGGGCTGGTGATTCTTCTATCAACATAAAAAGTGCAGCAATTTATTGGTTCAAAGGTTTTACTTTCTCAAATTTATCAATTCCCTTGAATCCCTGAGCTGTTAACTGAGTAACTGGTATCTGTCAGTTCTAACATGCAACCATCAAGAGTCAAAGACAGAGTTCCCAGCTCTATAAAATATTTAAAAATGAGATGAAAATTTATGCATGATATACACATATATCACTTCCACGTAACTGGTGAAATTCCATGATGTCCAGTAACAAATGATGAAACAGTATTGTTCATTCTAATGGATACAGTCCCATCTCCAAATGTAAGGATTTACATACATCAATATAATTAATGGTAATCAATAAAAAAAAAATCTTCTGAATATTGAAAGGGATTAGGATGTTAAAATGACCACTTGCACTTTCCAAACAAATACTAGTCGAAACACTAGAACACAGAAGTTCCATTTCCACTGGAATAATTTTTCAGTGTGGCCTGCTGACACTTTAATTATTTGGAAAGTAACAGGTTAAGTAGGGAACAGCCTATTTTACACTAGCTATAACTGGATAAACCATACACTTCTAAATCAAGACCTACAGAATGAACACAGTGCAGAGGAGCCCAAGGATAAACTCATGAAATGAGACTGTCAAAGCCATGAAGAGACTTAGTCAGACACTTTCCATCAGCCATCCCTTTACCACTTGGAAAATCTCATTCACCATCCCTGTATTTAGAGTTCTTTGTCTTTGTTTATCTATATACTTCTAAGTCCCAAAAGCTTCCACTTATTGTAAGGGTTGAAACAACATTATCCTGCAAAGGTAGTTTCTCAGAAACATATTTTCAAAGCAGCATGAAAGTTTCCACTGTGTCACATTTATTAACACCAATTGGATTCACACAGCTAAATCTTGCTGCAATTCATTGTCAATTTACCCCTTCCAGAATTTAATATTTTTTGAATTTGTTTTATTTTCCAAACACTTTCATCTTTCAGTGTTTTATGGCATGGTGCCTGCAATAGCACAGGCACAATCTCTGCCAGCTGGTTTAATTTTCTAGTACAGACAAGGCCAATGTTTCAGACTTCTAGTGGCATCAGTAAGAATTATGGCTGTAATCCAAAGGATTCCTATGTCCTTATGATATATTTTCCCAATGTACACATAGCTACTAATAATCTTAATGACATATTTACGCACAAAAAGATACACATACACTTCACTGTTCTTTGCTCAGACACCTTTGGCAATGGCACATGACAATGCTTCAAGCAGGAAGAGCAAAACAGTGAAAAGACCAAGGAGAGTCTCTGGGGCAAGATACAGTTCTCCTTACACAAAATTTCCTTGGTTTTCAGAAGCAGAATCCACCTAAAGGAGTTCAGTAAAACCCTGGAAGTGACTAAGAGCTTTTCCTGAACTTGTTCCACCTACACTTCCATCTCAGCGATTTTTTTCAGAATTCTGTATTACGCATAATGATATGGATTCCCATTTACAAATGAAGTTATTATTAAATGATAGAAGACTATTTACAGACTGTCCTTGGGATTACTGAATTAAACATCTAAATGTGTTCATTGTAAAAAATAAAAGGTGTCAGCCAAAAACCTCCACTTTTGTAGGTTAAAGTATTTTGTCAAAGTCCCCTGACAAACAGCACTGAAAATTACAAGCAAATCTTGCAGTTAATACACTTAATGGGTTAGCATTAGAGAAAGGCTGTTTTATTCATAGTAATGCAATAGCTGTGTTCCTCTTCACTTTTGCCTAGGCTATTGGTTTATATGTTGCTGGGATAAGTCAAAGTTAGAGAAGAAAAAAGTTTTAAAGAATCAAGAAACTGTGCTTTGAGGACACTGAACTCTTGTTCTTTAGAACAAGAAGCAAATCTTGTTTATGAACACGTCTCCAGGGATTTGGCTTTTTTACTTTCCATCTAATACAGAAGAGAATCTACATAGTACATGCATGCTATAAAAGGTGTTGCCAGCTGTATTTAATTAGATACTTCTTTCTCAGGTAATATCCAAAGGTTAATCCTAAGGCTAAGCCTGAGCTGTTCCCAGGCCCTTCTTTGACATGATCAGAATACGACTAATGTAAACAACTTTTTTTAAAAATATGTGCCCATCTATTTCCTTTTAGTTTTTTCCCAAGTCGTATAAATCATCAGTTCTTCTGAAATTCTACAAGTTTGCACTACAAGTGCTTGGATTTTGCAAGTTTTAATCTAAGTATTGTCTACAATCACTAATATCTCTTTCACCCCTCCATAAGTGGACACAAAGTAAAGTAAATCTCACTTAATGAGAGTAATGTCCAGGGATGCAGTTTTGCTGCATGTTTTATATTCATGACCTCTAAGACTTTAGAAAAAGATTTAAACTTTCTGTGGTGTTAACTTCTACGTATATAAACTGAACACTACCACCACTGAGATCATGAACAGCATCTGAGCTTTAGGTCCATGTGTGATGGTTTAGGAATGATACTCCCCAATTTAGTTCTCCCACTGATACTCTCCAGATCACGCTGCCACTCTCTCCTCCCTCTCCCCCTCTCCCTACAGGTGCCAGGTGAGGAGAATTAGAGGCACAAAAGGCAAAGATCATGGGTTGAGTTAAGGACAATCTACTGGAAACAACGAGATAAGAAAAGGAACAGTAGCATCAACAATATTGGTAACAAAAGAGTACTAAAGAGAGAGTGATTGCAAGAAAAATGTTCGCCCCAGCCATGCTCACCCTGGCTTGGAACCAGGGCAACGCCACCGCGCTTGGGACTGGTGCCACACCATCCCAAACAGAAGGAGCCCATTCTCCCTGGAAGAGAGTGCTTTTCCTCCACCCTGGCAACGATGTGAGGTAGTAGAGAATAACCTCCAGGTCCTAGCTATGACCCCTCCAGGATACTGCAAAAAAAATTGATCCCATCTTGGTTGGAACCAGGACATAGTATCTACTAGATTACTTCTTGAATATAAGGAAAGACTTCTATTCTTAAAGAAAAGTAAATTAAAATGATAGCATTTTGCCATACAGACATTTATCAGCACCTGAAAGATATAGGTATGACAGCGGAACATCGCTATAAAACAGGTAAGAACAGCAGAAAAAACTATGCATTGAAGTAATTTTTGAAAGTTGTTATATCGTCTGATAGGTCTTTTATAAAACACTGCTCTTTTCCTGAAAGACTTTTTATGCATTTCTCTGCAGATTATGGTGGCCATTCACACTTTACTTCAATTTTTATAGCCTCCCAGTAATTCCACAGAATAGTAAATACAGTTACTATAATCCTCATAACTGGCAAAGAGATATATTTGAAGAAATAGGGTTTGTTTCCCCTCCCACATGCATAATGTAAATCAGGAACAATTCTGCTGCAGCCGTTACCACAAAACCGATACAAAACAAGAAATAAAAAATAACAGCAATGTATACAGAACACTTTTCTTACACTAAGAGTACTGATCATATACCTCCTGTTTTTTAGCAAGGTTGTGCCGTTGAGTTAGTTATACCACACTAAGCCTATTACTCTATTCACATGTGAATAAGGTCCAGACTCACGCTGGAAACAATGGAGACGCACCAGTTTACATAGGCTAAGAAACTGCCACAAAGCCTTGAAAATGAAAGGGGATTTTCAAATAAAATGCAATAGGTACAATTACTTCTGGAGTATTACCTCTGAAACAGAAGCATTTTCAAAGTGCTCTAAAGAGAAAACTAGAAAGATCTCAAAGGATTACGAATACAAACAAACAATCCCCCCCCCCCCCACAAACACTAACTGCATCCCACTTTTCTTCTTTACAGACACACACATAGAAGGAACAACACTCATTTTAAGAGAGATCTTGTGGCAAAATTATGACACTGAGTCACTAGAAAAGAGAAAAAAATCTTTTTAAACACTCTTGGGACCAGGGACTACCGTTACGGGGAGAGCATTATTTTTATCATCCTGCTAATGAGCCAGATGAAGGATTATTGCTGTTTGAGGTTATTTATCTCAAAAACTCTTTTCTCTAAAATAAATATGCCAACTCCACTAAACAAAGAGAAGAAGCAGCACCGTTCTGTTGTTTCAATTGCACGCTGAGGAATACTTAAGCAGAGGAGAGGAACCCCATGAAAAGTCACGGGGGAGGGCTGGCACACGCCGCTTTAACATAGCTTAAGAAAAACAGAAAAAGAGCCGGCGATGCCGGTCCGCGCATCTTCCCACCGCGCCGGCAGCGCCCAGCAGTGTCCGGCCCCACCGCCGCCCCGCGGGCACTGACCGGGGGCACCGTCAGCTTCGTCCTTCCCCTCGGCCTCTACTTAGAGCAGACGGGGGAAGCCCTGCCCGGAACCAGCGGGGAATGAGCGACGCCTTCTCGAAGCGACAGCAAGGCGGGAGAGCCGCTCTCCCTCCGGCAGGGAGCGCCGACAGCCGCCCGGGCTGGGGCGGCACGGGTCGCCGACCCGGTCCATCCCCGAGCCCCGGGGCCACTCTGTCCCCACGCCGCACCACACGGCCAAACTTACGGCTCGGGGCGCGGGGCGGGCGCGCTGTCGGGGCGGCGGGTGCGGACAGCTCCGCGCCCGGGTCAGCGCCGCTCCGCACCCCCGGCCGGGGGGAGGGAGAGAGCGCCCGTCCCTGCCCACCCCCCAAAAGCCGAAGCGTGCCCCGGCACTCACCAGCTGCAGCGAGCACAGGAAGATCAGCGTGCAGCGCCCCGAGCAGCAGCCCATGGTGGCAGCCGGAGAGCCGCCGCCGCTGCTCCGCTTCTTCCCTCCCGCACTGACGCGGCCCCGGAGGCGAGCGGGGGCTCACCGCATCCGGACGGAGCGGCCGGGCGTGCGTGTATCCCCCGCCTCCTGCTGCCGCGCTCCTTTGTGGAGGGGCTTCCCTTGGGCGGCGGGAAGTGGCGAGCGGAGGTCGGCGCGGCCCCAGCGCTGGGAGCCGGCGGCAGCGGAGGGCTCTGCCCGGCTCTGGCTCCGGGGAAGGGGCAGGGGCCGGGGGTGGGCGTTCGCGGACCGGGGCGGGGTGGGCAGAGGGAACGCGGTGGGGAGGCGGGGGGCGCGGGTGGGTGTGCGAGGGAGGGCGGGAGCTGTGCGAGGTGTGAACGGGAGGGAGCGGGGGCGGCCGCGGGCTTTTCTCGGGCGCGGTGCCGGGGATCCCCGGGCGGGCACTTTGCGGGGATTTTGGAGGCTGCGAGGACAGGTTGTGCTTGAGAGGAACTTGACGGCAGGGGCGGGGGGCTGTGGGGCCAGTGGCAGCCCGGCGCGGGCCGCTTGTTGCGAGCGCCCGGGGAAAGTTCAAGGGACTCGGAGGGGCGGCGAGCGGCAGCCGAGCGGCGGGGCGGGCCCGGGGCAGCTCGCCCGTGTGCGGCCGGGGCAGCCCGGGGGCGGCCGCGGGCCATTGTTCGCTGTCTAGCGCTGTGCCGGGGTCGGAGCCGGCTCCGGGGACAGGGAAGCCGCCGGGAGCCCGATGCTCAGGGAGTCGCGCTGGCAGCCGCTGTGTGCGCGTCCCCGCGGGTGCCGGGCGGTACCCAGGGAGCCTGTTCCCGTCCCCACTGCTAGGGAGTGTCTCGGTGCCTGGGGCTGCTGCTCGGGCTGCTCCATCCCCTCCTTGTCCGCGCACCAGAGTGCTGGGGGAAGGGGTTTCCCTTCCTGGCAGCGCCATTGTGCCAGGAGAGCCCGCGGGCTCCTGCTGTCCCTCGAGGGTATGAATGGGAATGGGCTCCGGGAAGAGGGGCTGGGCTCCGGCAGTCACCGCTCCTGGCAGTGGGAAGTCGTAGAGTCGTTCAGGTGGGAAAAGATCTAAGATCGTCAAGTCCAAGCGTTAATCCAGCACTGCCAAGTCCGTAGCGTACAAGAAGACGGGTGAGCAAACAGTGCCCCTCTCCAGGGGCAGCTGGGACAACAGGACCAGTGGAGATACTGCGGTCCCTACATCTATATATGTCTTTTGGTCATAGACAAGTAATCTTCTGGGGCGGGATAATAAATCCAAATATACACACCGTCTCTTAAAAATACGGTGTGGGAATGATGTGTGAAGGAAGTGTCGGCTACCTTATTTTTTCCTTTCGCCAACAAAGTATAGATAAATTAGATTATTTTTTACAGGCATTAAGGCACGTTCCACTAACCAGACAATACTTTCCTACGGCCTGTTACCAGCTGCTGTTCCACAATACAGAGACTTCTGCCACAAAACACTGAAGCTTGCCCTTGGGGAAAATAAAAAAAAAAAACAACAAAACCTTAGCTTCTACAAGGCATTTTAGTGAGTTACGTGATTAACGTCTCTGTGAAATACAGTATTGTATCCCCCAACTACATACAGCTCTTCGTTTATATATTAAATAGTAGTGACAATAATCAAATAATTACAAGATGACTGTAAAACAGTATTGTGTCAGATTAGATTTGGAAAGCTACTTTTTCCTACCCTTTTTTAACCCTTTTAAGTAGAAAAACATTAAGACAGTTGTAAATACCAAATGGAAGGAACAAAAGGAGGACAAGTAAGAAGCTGACTGCTCATTTAGGATGTGTATTTGACTAGGTATGTATTTGACTAGGTATGTATTTGAGGAACACAAAATATAACCCACGTTGCCCAGTATACAAAACTTAAATAAAACCACTTGCGATTTATATTTCTGTGTATCACTTTTAAGACAAAACTCTACCTGGGACTAAAGTTTACTAATGTTACATGTTCTGAGAACATATATATTTTGAAGGATGAATACCTGAAGATATGAGAGTAAATTGAAAGGTGATAGTTGCCAAAGATACAATGTACCAGGCTCTGTGATTGGTAAATTTTATGGATAATTGGTTTTCTATGGAGAAGAGTTAGAGGAAGCATCATCTCTCTGGACTTTACTGAAGTATTTAGTAGACCACAAAATCTTTTTAGTTAAATGCAATAATACAGAGATTAATAATAAGAATGGCAGGATGGGTAAGGAACCAGATCAATGCAATGCCAAGAGCTAGTGCTGAAGGGATTTTACTTTTACCCACCATATTCAGGCCCTACTTTTACATCAATGGGCTGAGGTCCATGACTTTCCTCTATTTCTCCCCAAGAATAGTGCTCTTCTGACAAGCAGCTAAATCCTGTGGAATAAGGAGTGGAGAACATGAGAGTTTTGGCTGCAATAGAGTTAATTTTCTTCACAGTAGCTACTGTGTGACTGTGTTCTGGATTTGTGCTGACACAGGGCTGATATTTCAGGGATGTTTTAGTCACCTCAGAGCAGGGTTCACAGACCCTCAAGGCCTTTTTCTTCTCATCCCTCACCACCAACAAGGGGGCTGGAGGTGCAGAAGGAGTTTTGGGGGGACACAGCTGGGACAGCTGACCCCAACTGACCACAGTGATATTCCATAACAATATGAGATCATGCTCAGTGTACAGTGCTAGGAGAAAAAGGAAGAGGGGCATGTTTGGGGTGCTGGCATTTGTCTTTTTCCCAAGTCACTGCTACACGTGACAAGGCCCAGCTTTCCTGGGGATGGGGCAACACCTGTCTGCCCATGGGAAATAGTCAATGCATTCCTTGTCTTGTTTTGCATGTATGCATGGCTTTTGCTTTCCTTATTAAACTGTCTTTACCTCAACCCACGAGTTTTCTCACTTTTACTTTCTGAATCTCTTCACTATCACATCAGGGGAGGGTGAGGGAAGAGTGAGCAGCTGCATGAGTCTGAGTTTTCAGCTGGGGTTAAACCACAACAAGTAAGTTTCTTAGAGGTTTATGAATCTAATATTTTTCCCTTTGTTTTCCCATGTTCCTGAAACATTTAGCTATTTATGTCCTCTAGCTAGTCAAAATTGATTCCCTCCCACCTCCCCCCCCCCAAAGAAAAGGATAGTTGTGATAAGAATTATCCCTGAGTATAAGGTTTCTCAAAGAAAAAAATTATACAGCAGAATGCTGCAGAACATGACTTCCAGAGGAGCAAAAGGAACTAAAATAATACAATAACCTTGCACTGCAGCTGGAAGCACTGGACAGTAGAAGTAAGTACAGGAGAAAAAACCTGGATCAGAAGGAGCCTAAAAATGAAGTATGGTTGTGAGAAGGCATAGCATTTCTAGAACATATCAGACAATGCAATTTAAGAATAAAATAATGCACAAAGCAAATAGGAAAGACTGTATTTTGCATATTTTTCTACCCATGAATTGGGTATGGAAGTTGATAGTCAAGTAACCATAGAAAGTAATTTCTGGCTGTATAATGAAGACAGCAATAATTCAGCATCGTGCATGCCAAGTAGAGGAAAAATGGTGTAAGTTCTAAGAAGCCCCGTGGACTCTCTTAATGCCCAACAAGACATGCTACATGGATTCAAATTCAGTGCTCTTGAAAAGAAAGCATGTCCTCAAAAGTTTTATTATATGTCCATGTACACATGTACCCTCACATAAGTGTATGATTTCCTATGCTAAAACTGTAATCATAGGACATCAAAACCTGTGCTTCTTGTCTGGTTGCATTGAAAGCAGAAAACCAAGGTTGTTCACCTTCACAGAAATACAGCATCACAAATAGCAATAAGAGATATTGCAAGTATATCATAGAGACTTCTAATTTCTATAGGTTTATTCCTTGTCAGGTGATAATCTTCAGAGTCAAAGATATGAACATTTTCACGTTTAAGAACTAAAACCATCAGTAAAAGATCTCATATCAAGAGACAAAGTGAAATTCATAATATTTTACTGTCCTTGTAGCTCTTTAATGGCATATACTCTCTGTCTAATAAGCATTTACTTTCCTGTCTCTCCTGGAGTATTCCTCAACCTGCACCAAATTATCCTGTCATGAATCTAGCCTTAAGGAAGTGCATTTTATTGACTCTGCCCATTGGACTAAAGTCACAGATGACAGCAGAAAACTTCCTTCATAGTTTGACATTTCCATTCTTGATCATGAATATTAGTCAGGGGAAATTAGTAATGAAAATAAATAAGAGTGTCAAAGGATAATCCTAATCCTGGAAAGATTTGTGTATGTAATTAATTTTTAACACCAAGCATAGTCCTTTATGATCTGCAGAGATTAGGTAAATGCATTTAGGGTCTGCAGAATCAGAACTTAAGAAGAGATTCTCGTGGCCTCAGATTTCACCATTAATTTTGGCATTTAATGAAGAAAGATTGAGAATCAGAAGCTTTGTAATTACTTTTCAAGCTTTCCCAGAACGAGGGAGGATACAAGGATCTGAATGCACCTCCATAAAGCTATCAACAGGTCACACTTCAGGCAGACTTACAGTTATGATAGCTTAGAAAAACATTCCACTGTGTATTCCCCAAGCAGTCTTGAAATACCTCAAGCAAACTAGAAACTCCATGAAATTTAATATAGCTTTAAAGACAAATGAGGGTTTCAAGATATTATCAGTGTTTTTAGCAAATCCTATTTTCAATTTATCCTACTGAAAGCCGATACAAAATATAATGATCTAATTTTTCATTTCGATGTTAACACCTGCTGCTAGGAAACTGCATTCTTCATTAAAATGCAAGTACTTTATGGAATGAAAAGATATGTTCATTGTAAATGACTTTTTTGTTATTTTAAAGAAGTGTTTTAAAAGATCAGGCTCCGTGTGGGGAACCACGTTGAGGCACAGCCTCTCAGTGGCCAGGCAGGTCCATGGGGAAAGGAATGGAGACTGGTCAGTGTCAGAGACACAAAACATCAGCCCAGGCTGGGCTTGTGCCTGGGGAGGCAAAGCTGTGGGGAGCTGTAGATCAGCCCTGCTGCTGAGGCAGCGCTGGGGCAGGGACTGATGGCCCTTTTGGGGCTGAGATGGGGCCCTGGGCTCTGGGCAGGGCTGGAGGAGCCCAGGGG